GAGCCTGTATGGTTGACCCGTGTCAAAAGCACCCGATTCAACTCATGCAGAGGGAAGACAAATTGAAATGTGAAAATCCATATTGCAAGCTACGCCCAAGTGGTGCTTTCAATCTCCAGGAGGCTCTGTAACCCGGTGCCATCCCCATACGCAAGCACAAATGTTGATAACTCAAGCTTGGGATGAACTTCTTGCACAAAGCAGCGGCTGCGATTACAAATGAGTACACACTGAAACAGTCCCCCAAGAGTGACAACCTGGCATTTTCATATGCTGCTAAAGACTGTTTCTGCTTGCTAGCGCTAAAACAGAGAGAAGTATGCTTGTATCCATATCCCAAGAGAAGTTCACGCTCATCGCTATCTGCCAGTCTCCACTTTTCACCCTTCCAAAACACAAAGCGATCTTGATAATGATATGGAGGAAACTTGAAATGCTCGCTTTGCCATCTCGCCACTGTGTCGGGGTCACATCGTTTTAGACCGGCTGGTTGTGGTGGCGGCTTTGACCTAATGATTGCACGCATGGCAGTGGGGAGAACTTCTCCCTGTGTACCTCCAGGCCAGTACACACCTGGCTCAATCCACTGTTCCATCTCCGGGTATGGTGCTTTTGCTATGAGCTTAGTCCAAAAAGTGTCAGGCTCAAATTCTAACCCCTCTAATGCACCTTCCAACTCTTCGCTGCACCAGCAAAGACGTGGGCGATTCATTGGAACTGCATCAGCGCAATAGAGGTGGTAGGGCCAGGTCTCCAGTTCTTCAGAAATTTGTTCACATTCGGGCTTGCCCATGGACGCTACGTTCTCACCCACAAATTTGACTACAATGTTACCTCCAGCTACTTTCCTCAAGAGTTTTAGAATACGAGGCATCTCAAAGAAAAGCTTGGATTGTTCTCCCTGCAAGCCCTGCCGAAACGCTTTTACTGATGTCAAGTCAGTGCATGGAAAACCTGACCAGAGATGTATTTCAGTGATTCCTACAAATTTCAAGAGCCATGAGCGCACCATTACCTCATCCAGCGTTCTGACGTCTCCATATTGTAATGCTTGTGGCCAGCGCCTGCTGCTGACCCTGTTGGCTGGCCCATGAATTTCGAAGCTTACCATTCCCATAGGTCTTATTCCCAATATATCGTAACAGCGGAAACTTCCGCCGATACCATGAAACAGTGACACCACCAAAATGGGAGCAGTTGCTTGAGCATCCATTCCTGATTTACTGGCGGCTACAAAGTCTTGTCCCTCTGATGACAACTCATACGCAATCCCAACTGCTCCTCCCGTGTTTGAAGCATCTGAGGCTGTAGTGACTTGGCTGACAGTGGCTCCCAAATTCGTTTGAAAGAAAGGTGTTGCACATACTATGGCCCACAATTCACGACGCACTCTGAGCACCAGACCCAAATCAAACTTTTTGCTCCCCACATATTCCCAAGTCGCTTCAAGGAAGGACATACCAGGTCGTCTAAACTGTAGTATGTGGATCCAACGCCCTGCTATCACTTGAACATGTTTCTTAGACAAGTGGGTGCGGCTCAAAACCCACAAAGTAGCTTGCATCACCCGCAGCAGGCGGTTGGGAGATCCACCTATAGTATTTGTTGCTCCGCTGACAAGTGCTCCAAGTTCTTCCGCTTCAACAACACCCCTTTTCCGCTTTTTCTCTGAAGATACCACTTGGGCTTTCTGCCAGGCGGTCTCTGCTAGTTCATGCAAACGTTCTCCCCCAATCGTCTCTTCTCCTTTGTCCACAATCTGACCTCCAGCGTAGTTGTCTAAATAGACATGCCACCACGATCGATTCTGCCGCTTTGCCTCTTTTAACAGTCCTACCATCCAGAGAGGGACAGCTCGATTCCGTACCACCTGTTAAGCTTCACTCAAAGACCCTTGCAACAAGATTTGTTCGCTGACTTCTTGCATGATTGCGACCGATGACAGCCATCCCATCGGTAACACACAACAACTCAAGGCATATCGTACCGCAGGATCTTTTCCGATCTCGTTTCCCCATCTCAAAATGTTGAAAGATAAACAACGACGCCATTGGTGAGGCAAAGCAAAAAGATAGAACGCATTACACATGTCCGATTGCCAAATGCGTGCTTCTTCTTTCCCTTCAGTCACTACAGACATCCAGCTAGTAATGCTGGGTAAATTTTTCACTGCTCCTTCCAATTGCAACATAACAGAGTTAGAAGGGACCAAATTCATGATAACACGAAGGATGGGTTCACCACTGTCAATGGTTGATGTTTTTGGGACTCCAAAAAGACCATTCAACACTGGTTCGCCCCGAAAATGCAGCACTTGATCCAACGGTGTCCGGTCACAAACGCCACGATTCACCAGAACACGTGTGATTCCATCAAGCTCCCCTGTTTCCACATGTATACGCCCTTGCAACTTAGGCAATTTCTGACCCTTATCCGGCAAAATACAAAGTTCAGGCTCCCTCAAAAACCTACCTGTCACAGGCGACACCCACTTCAACAAGTCAATGCATCCACCATGTTCTTTGGGGGGAAGTGCAGGTTCAATTTGTCTTAAAGTAAGTTTATGACAAACACCAATCTCTTCCCCCTTGTAGTTGACCCTGGCAAGCTTGACATCTTTTTCGATTGCATCTAGGGTCACTGGCTCTTGCGTCCCATGCCCCAACAACCGGTCGGTCATCTGGTGCACGGTCTGAAAGGCGCTCGCTTCTGCTTTGATCCATCTACCTTGTTCCAGTAGTTTCTGCCTCCCGACCAGAGTATTGCAAGCGTAGCACGCAAGGTATGTCCAGCAATCCCCAGCATGTTTCTTTGCAAAATCTTCTCCCGCTGCTTCGAGCAGAGAAATCTTGAGCAGTTTGTCTCTAAGCCCGGCTAACTCACCCTCTCGAATAGGCAGAGCCAAACGTTTCCGCCCGGCTCGAAACCTCTCGCTGGAGTTAAATAGCACCGACCAGAGTGATGAATTCTTCACACTGTCCTCGCGATGCCCAACATGCAGTAAAGTCCAGGCCAGGACACATCCTGTGCGTTCCAATGTGTCACACAGCTGCAGGACTGACAAAAAGCTCAAGGGCTGATTAGTCGGATTCGTCTCTGACACAACACTGTCCAACCGCGGGTACCCTGCCTTGGCAGCGATGGCAGAGGGCTCCAAAGGAGTCGGGTTCGTTTCTGACACAACACTGTCCAACCGCGGGTACCCCGCGTTGGCAGCGATGGCAGAGGGCTCCAAAGGAGAAATCTCCGCAACGGCCTTGACCAGCGAAGAACCTTCAGCCACGGCTTGTACCAGCGAAGGCAAAACTAGCCCTTGGGTTTCTCTTCGGTCTTTTCCTTGTTCTTCTCCCATTCTTTTGTCCTGGACGCCTCCCATCCTGGCCTCTGATCCCATTTTCCTCGGCCTCCTTTCTTTCCTTTGCCTTTTCCTTTGTTCTCTCCTTTGTAATCGCCCCGCCCATCTCCAGAGTTCCAATCGCTGCGCCCCTTCCCCCCTCGGCCACGGCCAGCACTCGGAGTCCAAGTGCTGGGAGGAGGGCCTTGAACCTTGGAGATGAGCCGAGCGTGTTTTCGGGTGGCCAGCAAGGCCGCTGCCCCTGCTGCACTGGCCTCCTCCAAAGGAAAGAGCTCGAGGTGCTTGGCCATCTGCCACGAGCCATCTACCAAGCTTTGATGTATGGCGATGAATCTCGCCGCCAATCCGTCGGCTGCCCTGGCTAAGTCTCCTTTTCTGACCAAGTCCAAACAGGCGGCCAGATGATGAAGTTCTCGCATCTCCCGCAATTGATGCGGATAGCTGCTCTTCACGTGCAAGTTGAAATATGTCATCACCTTCACGCCGCTGGTCATGGTCGAGCTCGGGTGCCCCAGCTCGGTCAAAGCGCTCTGATCCAACTGTTCCTGTATGTGGCTGACAAGCATCCTGAGGACAGACCCTGGATGGTCCCTTGACTTCTTTCGCAATGGGGCCTCTAAGTCTTCGTCGCTTGACACTGCCTCGGAGACCTCGTCGCTGTAGGAGCTGGAGTTGGAACTGCAGCTCACGATCGTTCCATCCTGTAATTTCCTCTTCTTCTTGGAGGTCTTCTTCTTCCCTTTCTTCTCTTTCTGCTCCCCCTCCGGTGTCCTTCCAAACACTTTGGCTAATGCTGCAGTGAGGTTCTCCATATCCGTCTTCTTCGACTGCTTCTTCTTTTTCCTCTTCTTCTCGGCTGCCCTCTGAGTCTTCGCTGCTAAGGCCTGTTTCAACAATTGGCCGCTCAAGCCTTTCAAAGTGGAATCTTTTGTATCCTCCAGTGGCAGAGCGTCTCGATGATGTCGATGGCTGGAACGAGGGTGACCTTTGCGGGCTACGGCCTTGGCCAGCGCGCCTGCACCCTCTCCCAGGTTTGCCCCTGTTGTCAGGCGTTTCTCCGGAGCACAAGACGAACCTTCGTCCTCTGACCCACTGCTGACATCCTCTGCGACAGGGGTCCCCGGGCTGTAGCCATCTTCGACCCGTATGGTGCCAGGATCTTGCAATCGCTCTCGAACTGCTTTGAGGCGGCTCCGTAGCTCTTCTCTGGTTGCCTTCTCCTCTTCCTTCTTCTTCGGCTTTCCTCCTTTGCCAGGTGTCTCCGGCTCCTCTTCTCCTGCGGCATGCTCTCGCTTTCTGGGCCCCTCTTTCGCCTTTGGTGTCTTGGTCTCTTTCTTTCTCCCAATAGGTTTCTCTTTCTCTTTGGGAGGATTTCTGGAGCGGCGCCCAGGTGTGCTTGGCATCACTGCTTCTGTCGCTTTCAACCAATCTACACCAGCGTCTAAACTGCTTGCGGCTACATACTCCTGAACTGAGATGAACCTGTCCCAGCTCCATAGCCGGATCCGGGTCACATGCATGAAAGGAGTGTCTGCATCGTCCTTCTCTTCGGTCATGAGACATGGTCTTGTCAAACATAAATGAATGCGGCATCGGGCATCGCTGAACTGCCCGTCCAAAACCTGAGAATAGGGAGTGTCTTCGGCGCCCAAATGGCGGCACTCCAGAACAATGGAACCATCCAACCTTGTAGAAACCCTTCCAATCAAAAATGCTGCCCAAGCAAACGGAGGATCGTGAGTGTCTGTCTCGGACAGGAAAACTTCCAAAACTTGTCCTCTGACTGGTGACAATGCGGCCCATTGCACCCGATCTTCTGGCGAGATCTCGGCTCCTTCGCCGCCGAAAGACGCCATTGCTTATCCAGACCTGTCCAAGGCCTGTCGTCCTTGTGCCACTGATGAAAGTTCCAACAAACCAGGTCCAGCTTTTCGATGAACTCGGGTATTGGGGTCCTCTGCCAAGCGGTGCAGGCGTTGGTGATTTCGCCCCGCTCTTCGATTCTTTTTCTTTCCTCGTCGATCTCGATCTCGATCACTGTGCCTTCGTCCACGAGAGCGGCTACGAGGTGCACGGCTATGGCCAGCACTCTCCCGATCCCGTCTTGGAGAAGTCTCACGCCTTCGGTGACCTGAGCGGGACCTGTCAACAGCCTTGCGCTTAGGTTCAGCTCCTCTCACCACCACCTCCTCGTCCTCGAGCTCCTCTTCTTCTTCTCCTTCCCAATCACCTGAAGCCTCTTCTGTTGGTTCCTCCTTATTAGGTGCTGGAGGAGGAGGAGGTGTAGGAAGTTCAGGCCGCCGACGAGGCAGGGATTCACGACTTCTGTCAGCTGCCCTACCAGGAGTTTCGGCTCTTTCTGAACCTGGCCTTACTGATCTAGCTCGGCTCGCACCAGCTGAACCAGACAAGCCCCCACCCACAGCAACACCTGCGCTTAGGGATCTCAAGGCTCTAATCTGCCTTGCAGTGTTCAAGATCAGATCGTTTGCTAAAACCTTAGCACCAGGGATATCCCAATGAGCGCAAAGCTCACGACCGGCTGCCTCCCAGCCTGTGCAGCCTGCACTCCAAAGATCCCCCTCAAGCGCTGCGGAATGGCGACACTTCGGACAAATGGGTGGGGGCATCTACACCCTAAAAGAAATTGGACTTTGAGATAAATATCGCAGAGAGTCAGGTACGATGTTCAGCCTAAACTTCTACCAGAAAGTCTACATGAAATCAGTTACATACATTACATGTATTACAAACACTGCACTACATTGCATACATTGCCGCACATTACAATACAGCACAAGCATTACAAGCATTACACGCAATACATACATTGTATACATATATTACATTCATTCTTGACATACATGACAATCATTTCAAACAATGCACACATTGCAAACGTTGCATACAAAGCAAACATAGCATACATAGCATACATAACACGCATAGCATTTATTACATACGTTACAGGCATTACATACAGTACATTCAAAACTCTCAAAAAATTCACAACAACATACCTAACAAAGGTACCATATGTAACCTACAAAACCTGCATACCGTACATATCACACATACATATATACAAACATACATTACATTATGTTGTTACGTTACGTTACGTTACGTTACGTTACGCTACGCTACGCTACGTTACGTTACGTTACGTTACGTTACGTTACATACATACATACGTGCAGTTGTTTCACACTTGCTTTGGCTCAAGTGGCACGTAACTTGCATAGAGTATACTGTAGCACTGTAGGTGCTTTAACCATATATTTATTTACACCGGGTGCCGCAACCTAGATTCGTGGGCGAAAAAGCAGCTGGGCGCTTTGGGTTGCGCATAGATCTACAGGCCTCTACCTACCTACCTGCCTGCATACATACATGCATACATACCTACCTACTCATACATACCCATACATACCCTTGCATACCCATGCATAAGCATAAGCATACATAGCCATACATAGCTATGCATAACCACAACCATACATAACATACTGTCAACTACTTTGGCGGGGACCTTGGTGACTTTCGTTTAGGCCCTAGATCAGGGATGTATTCGGGTTATCTGAAGGAAGTAAAATGTCAAAGGTCTGAAGTAAGAAAATTGACCTCTTTAGACCCTGTGACGGGAACCCATAGAGTCTGGGTACTTTAGACCCTTACTAGTTGAGGGTATTACAAAACCATATAATACGCAACCACACATAACCATACATAACATCACATAACATCACATTAACATTAAAACACCTTACGCAACCTTACCAAAGCTAGAAAAACATTACGTAACAAAACATTACATGCATTACAATACACACATACATGCATTGCATTGCGTTGCGTTGCGTTGCGTTGCGTCGCATTGCGTTGCGTTGCGTTGCATTGCATTGCATTGCATTGCGTTGCATTGCATTGCATTGCACTGCATACATACATACATGCATACATACTTAGTACGTGTGTGTGAGATCGGTATAGTCTGGTACCGCTTGCTGCTACAGGGCCTTACAATTAGAAGCGAAAGGACATCATTTTGCAAATCATTTGTTTTGACGGTGTGTTCAAACTCTGGGCCGAGCCACGGCTATCACTGTCACCAAGTTCAGATCCCGCTCGGAGGCACGCGATGACATGCTCCTTGTCATGCTCCTGCGGTGTCTCGGGAGAACGTCCAGGACGCGCAAAATGTGCGACTGTGGGTTTGACACTGTACCGAGTACTTCCGAGTATACATCATGTATGTGCCATACTGTATGGCCATACTGCACAAAATGTAGAGATGCATTAGCTTGATTCGCTTGATGTTTCTGCTCAACTCTACATCGGGAAACTGTGGCTGATATGTCATGATACTTCAAACCCAAGACTCACTGGCTGACATTTACTGAGTATTTACTGTATTGACATTTTCCTTGTGCCTCCGCGACCTGTCCCGTCACATTGCCAATCCCTCCTGGGGTTTCCGGAATTGGCTTTGTGTGAGAAGACTGCCATCATGATCTTCGCAAAGCAAGGGTCTCGCAACAAGCCCCGCGACAAGATCACTACCACATAGGAAGCATAGTGGAGTGTGGCAAGGGCCTCCTCATCCGTACGAATCACACTGCAAACGACCTGAAGCCTCCGCTGAATCATATCCTCTGCAACCTCACAAATGCTCAGCGCCTCTGCATCCACAACTGCACCTGTGATTAAAATTCGCGGCTTGGCCACCGGCAACTCTTTCTCTGCATCACCTAGCGGACCGATCGCTGCGCCTATCGAGCCTATCGGGCCCATTCCCGATCCTCTTCCACTGAGTTGGCATCGAGTTAGAATCTCCCGAACGATCACAAGTTTCTGTCCAGAGGTGCCAAAGCGGGGCATTCGCAAATCAATCAAAGCTTGCAGGTGCAGGAAGGCACTGGTGACATCGCTTTCCCTTATTCCAAAACATGCCAGGGAATGTTGTTGCTCCGGCCCCCAGAGTGATGGAATGCCCTCAATTTCATGGGTTCTCATAGGGCGAAAGTCATCGCAAGCAACTGGAAGCATAGTGATGCGGTGCTTGAACGCTGTTGCAATCCTGGACATTGTGGGGCCGCTCAGCTCCAGCTGCAAGTTTGCGAGCCCCCCGTTGCAAACAATTACAGAAACATAAGCCAAGAAGATCTAACAAGATCCAAGAAGACTATAGTAAGTACAGAACATGACTGTCACCATCAGCTACCACAAATCGGGATAGTCTGGGCTCATGTCCGGTTGCTTGCTGTTCCAAAAGGCCAAAAGTCAGATATGGAATGCCCCGTCCTAGATAATCAACTGAAAAATGTTACATACATTAAAAGCGATGGACTTTTCAGGGGCCAAAGAATGGCCAAAATTGCCATCCCAAAAAACAAACCCACACATGTGGGTATATAATGGATTATAATGGTATATATAGTATATAATGGTGTATACCAGCGCGTCTGCCTGCACGTTTTCAGCATATGTGCTGCAAGGTTGGCGCTGAGACAAACTGTGACGCACTGGGGTGAATTATTTATCATTGTGCTATGTCGTTTCATATTGTCGCGTCGTATGCTGGTGCTGCGTGGATCTGTGTCGTGTGTCTTGCATTGCTTAGCTCTGTGGCCTGTCAAGACGTGTCCTGCTACGTCAAACGTTGCATTCTCTGCTCGTCTGAGTGAGTGAGGGAGTGAGGGAGATAGCGAGGGAGTGAGTGGCAGGTACGTGAGTAAGTGAGCAACTGAGTAAGTGAGCAACTGAGTAAGTGAGAAAGTGAGTGAGTGAGTGAGTGAGTGAGTGAGTGAGTGAGTGGGTAAGTGAGTGAGTGAGTGAGTGAGTGAGTGAGTGAGTGAGTGAGTGAGTGAGTGGGTAAGTGTGGAAGTGTGTAAATGTGTAAGTGTGTGTGTGTGGGCGTTCTCTTACTATCCGGTATTCATTTCCAACAGGGCTCCAAGCAAAGACTGCTTGGATTGGCTTGCCCCTGCCTGCCCTGAGGCACGAACTCTATCATTAGACACTGCTTCGACATGGTTGAACTATTGTGCCTATTTAATGTTTGCACATATTTAGACCAAGTCCCACCCAGCCCTCCCTCTCTTCAATAGCTCACATCGAATGGTTCCCCGCAAAATCCAAGTTTCTCGCCAGCACACCACATTCTCTTGAGCACCTGCGCTGTCAGCAGGATCACGAAGTGCTGCGTCTGATCCCGCACGGTCTCAAATAGAGCATCAAGGTTTTGTAGCGAATCGGCATCGAGAAACACGTCGCACTGCGCATTCTTGCAGAGCCTTAGTTGTAACTGTTACAACTTACAAGTACCTGTTTTCGATGTGTATGTTTCATGATGGGGCTTGGCCTGGTCAAAGCCGTAGGCTGGCTGGCAACTTGATGTGTTCCCGGTTGAAACCTGAGACCCTCTAAAAAAAATAATTTTTGTTGGAAATTGGACAACCCATAATTCGCTTTCAGAGTGTAAAGCACAACAGCCTTACGGTGGTAGAATGCAACCGCTCATACCGAACAAGCTGGATTTTAGGGTAGTACGTCCGATAGGTGGGGCCAGAGGTGCTGCTTGATTCTCATCCACAAATGCCTACCTGTTGCGTGGCTACAGCAAAACTTCGTTGCAGGCGCTTT